TTCGGTAATCCAACAAAATTTTCTCCTTCAGAGTATTTGAATCAAAGTCATCTTTTGAACTGGTTCAAAATTTGGCTCATAGAAATACTGTATGTTTTAGCATTGAAGTACCAAACATTTGATTTAAATGCGAATGCAAACATTTTTTCGGCTAAAAACAACTCCCGTTTTTTTCAATTTGTTCTATTTCGCTCCCGTTGTTCTTTGATTTTCTTTATCGTCGAATTTTGCGTTTGACGCAAATGTAAATTCCTGGAAAATTGGTCGATTATTTCTGCTGAAACCTGCTAATCAACACCCATTAAAGTTGCCTGAAAAAACCACAATTGATAAAGAGAAAAGTAAAGAGAACCAATGACGTCAGATGAAGTTCAACCGTTGAACAAATCGCAGTCGTTCAATGAGTTTGGTTTAAATCGGCACGAAAATGCTTGCATCGAGTCACGAAATGTGGTCAAAAATGTCGAGACCGTGTTTGTGTCAGGTAGTTGTGAAATACGTTAGCATATGAATGGCTCCTGGTCACATTGAGAGTATTGAACTCAAGACCCCATCGAGGTTTGAGTCACAGAAAAACCCAAAACGACTCAATATCACTAGATTTTGCACCGCCAAATCAATTGAATCGCTTGGGATTTGTCGAAGTAGAACACTTTCGATTTGAATGGCGCAATTTTTACAACGTTTTTTTTTATGGCTGAAATGGATTAGAAACGAGAACGAAACAAGTTGAATTAGTCTCGACGTCGTCATGTATCGTCATAACTGTACTTGTGCATGCAAACGAGCCGATTGTTACAGAAAATCCATCGAATAAATAATCTGCGTAAATTACAATGTCGAACAAGTTATTTTAACGGAGTTTGACGCAATGACGGTCACCGACGGTCGTGGACGAGTGAGAGAGAAGGCAACTGAGCGAGTAAGCGAAAAGGCGAGAGAGCGAGAGAAAAAGCCGAGTGAAGGCTTGACTTTGAGGAGTGAAAGAGTGAGCACTGAGCACACGGGTCAAGGAATGAAAGAGCAAGCAAAAGAACGAAACAGAGACCAAGACGACAAAAACAGTTAAAGAATGAAAGAGCAAGAAGAAAAGAAAGACGCAGAGCAAAAGAGACAGAAACAAACATCAAGAACTGAATGAGACATAGGGTTCAATTGCAAAATTGAGATTCGGCTTCAAAAATAGATCGTGGCATGATTACAATAATTTCGAGCATTTCAGAGTTTGTCGTCCATTCCGTTTGATTTGCTTTCTTTTCAACTGGTCGTCGATTCTCTTTCTCTCTTTTTCTCTCTTCCACCTCTATATCACTCGCCACAGTGGCTGGCATTCGTAAGATAAATGCTACCATTTACACACAAACGATTGAGACCGAAATTATTTTACTTCGACGAAACAAAACCAGAACAACAACGAGTGAGAGAAAAATCAGTAGCCAAATGTTGAAATAGCAGCACAAAAGACTTTGCAATGAACAAAAAGCAGCAGCAGCAAAGAAGTTAACGAAGAGAGAGAAAAAACACACAACAACATGAAAAATACACATAAAACGTGAATAACATTACCGCCATGCGGAACATGTGCGCCGTAAATTGAGCTAATAAATACATTTTCGGATTGTTTTGTGATTATTTTACTGCACGATCACACACACTGGGCCAGCGGAAAAAAAAACAAACAAACTCAAGCAGTTTGTTTTGTTACAATGAAATCGCGTTGCACTTGCAATTGCGCACCGACTGACACAACCAGAAATAGAAAGGAGCAAATGGCAAACATCAACAATCTATTTTTTTTCCTCCTCTCTGCTCGACTCGTGGTTCAAACCACTGAACTAGTTTCCGAGCCCAACACATGCGGCGACAAGTGCACACAACGTGGGAACATTCATGCAGTTGGGCCATTTTTTCTGTTTCGCGTTCGATTCGATTTTGGCTTGAAACTTTTAAATCAACATCAATGCTTACATTTCAAATCAAGCGATTGTTAACCAGTTCACATCAAATTGATTGCCGGTTTTTGAATTTCGTGGGAAGTGAACGATGCAGTCGGTTGAGAGAACCTTGGTTGTGTCGACCGAATACAATGGAGTCAAAGTGAGCTTGATGCAGGAAGTTGTTAGATCGAACAAGATCTTCGATGGTCAAATTGAATGTTCGCCTTAATTTTATGCAAATTTTTTGTGACTTTTTCGCTGTTGCCACTGAATTTGTACAAATTGACTGCGGTTTTGGGACTGGATCGATTAAATTTAGAATTAAAATTGTTGAAATCGGTTTTGTAATAGTTAAATTTGGAATTGAGTGACCGAATCTTAGACAAAAATCATCAAATCTGTTTATTTTTGGTTTTGATTCTGTTCAATTTTGGAGTTGAAAACTGTTGAATGACGCTGAGTTCGTCTAATTTGGTGCTGCACTCGCCAATCATCTGGTTTTTGCAACTGGAATCGTTTAATTGGGAGCTCAATTCGTATAATTCAAAGCTAGATTAGTCTAGCATAGAGTTCTTTCTACTGTTTTGGAGTTTTGGAGCTAAATTCGGCTAATTTTCTCAGATTTTAACGAGAAATTTCGATTCTTGAGTCAAAAATCACCACACCATACCTCATCAAGTTGAATAAAGTCGATCTTCGGCATAAAACTCTCAAATATATGCGATAAAACTGTAACATGTCTTGATGAACTCAGTTGATTTCTTTCCAAAAAGAAATCGCACAAGAACCGTATTCTCTTCATTTCATATCAAAACTCAATTGAAACGAGGCAATCATGCGAAAAACCCGGCTGTATTCTTGTAAATGGCAATAAATTGCCGTAAAAGAAATGCTACAATTTGCCCGACCATCTCAACAAATAGCATTTTCAATTAAACGAAGCCAATTTCGACGTGTTTTTCTACTTTTCATCGTTGCCATAATCCCATTTTTTTTTCGTTGTTTAAAACATATACAGTTTCATCGCAAACGATTACCGTTTCACTTCATTCATCTTTAATTTCGATTACTTCATCATTTCAAACGTTTCTTTCTTCTCTCTGTCCCTTAGTTTGTGTTCTTCTTCTTCTTCTTCTTCTTCTTCTTCTTCTTCTCCGTGCATGCGAATTTGAGACGACACATTGAAATTAGCCGATAAAATGGTCAAGTTTCTGGTTTCGGTTTACGCGCGTTTTTCTGCTGACCGTGTTTTGAGTTCGGAACTACGGCACCGATTCGACCTCTATTGTGAACATACTCTTGTTTGTCAAATAGCCTGGAAAATGCTGATGCGGCGCCGTTATTTATTTTTTCTTTTCGTTTTGTTTGTTTTGTTGTATGTACGTTTGATCTCTATGGTTCTCACAGCAGCAACCGCCTAGCTCTTAAATTACTTAATTCATGTGGAAAAAGACGTCGTTTTTGTAATCATTTCTAACATTTCAAAACCAAATAAAAACAATGATTAAGCGATTTTCGTGCAATATTTTTCACCGTTTCTTGCCTACCGTTCTCAACGAACCAATTTCGCGTTCTAAATAAACGTTTTCAACAACAATTGAATTAATTTTAATTGAACCACAACCTGAAGACGACTTATGAAATTACCATTGGTAATTACCATTTCGACGAAGGCTTTGGACACATCGCTCTTTGAAAATGACGATTTTTATTTATAAATAAGTCTAATTCCGGTATTCATTTTGAAAATTGGCTTAAAAATGGACCATTTTTGCTTCATTTGCCGACAAATCATCGGAACTCATTCATAGGAAATAATTAAATGACTTGAATTACAATGATTTGGCTTGAGAGAAATGAACAGTTTTTTGAACAAATGAATTTATTGTTATTTAATTTGAAGCAATGGACAGAAATTTGCAAAGGAATTATGTCTGAGAGCCGAAATTTTGTCAAAATTATGGTGAAGAAGGAGAAAATGACAAATTTAACAATTGGAAAGGCAAAAATCAGATTAAGACCTTCTGTAAGAGGAGAAAATCTAGAATTCAATTTAGATTCACTGAAGAGTTATTAAATTCAGAGACAAAAAACATGCTCAAATCGAGATGAAAATTTTAAGTACACATGTTTATTTCCGGATTTTGTCTCATTTCAAAAGAGAAATTCTCGGCTTAAAATTGACATTTCGCTCATTATTGCTCGCAATTAACAGAGAAATGTCACATTTTCCAAATGAAACGAATCATTCATGTAGACATCTCTCGTGTTTTAGGTCATGTCACATGGCTGATGTAGAAAATTTTTGCTTAATTTTCGAGACATTTCTGTTCAATTTCACTTCATCACCGCTTTTTCAAAGACAAATTTTCGCATTTCTATTAATTGATTGTCTCTATTAAGGAATAAAACTCAATTTTGTCTGAGAAATTTCAGTTTTTCATGAAATAATTTCATTTTTTCACGAAGTTTGATTTTTCAACGAAAAAATGTCATTTTTTATCAAAGAAATGTTGTTCTTTGTCTTTGAAATCTTTTTTTTTTTCAAATCGTCTCCTTCAATTTTTCATCGGCCTTTTTTTCTTTAATCGACTCTTTCAAAACGTCATTATCGAAAACCTTCATAATTTCTCAGAACTCAATCGACGCTTAGACGTTTAAAAAAAGTTCGTTTAAAATCTATCTTGAATCACATCCAATAAAGTCTCAAACAACAAAAAGATACCGTCATCGCCTTTTAAATCGCATCGATCACGCACTGCTCGAGTATTGTCACATCATCAGCATAACCATCTGACGATGCGTGTTCATTGTTTTTGTCTTTCGAATGCATTCTATGACAAAAGATCGTTCTGCGCACGCGTGTGTGTGTGTGTGTGATGGCTGAAAGTGAAATCGGCACACAATGCGTTTGGAGCGTGTAGAGCTGTAGCATACAATGTATGCCATGCTCTTGATGAAAGAGAAAACAATTTACGCGCGTCTGCAATCCGATCACATACTCAAAAGGTTGAGTCGGCTTGAGTTGCATGTTTCGTTCTGTTTTGCTTTGTTTCGTTTTTTGTTTTCAATTTAAATGAGTGTGTCTGTTGTTTTTTGTGCTTGCAGTGACGATGGCATAAAATTGAAGAAAAAAAAATTTCGTGTTCTTTTTGTTCGCGAGTTGGCAACAACAGTTTGGTGTGTTGCTGACCAGCATGGAACTTGTCTGTATGACCATGTAGGGTTTTGTTGCAAGCAACAGACGAAAAAAAGAAACACTCATGTAACAATTCGAATCGTCTTACAAAAAAGGAGATCGAGCGAATGGACTTCAACCGGTGCATTCGGTGGTTTTCCTTTTTTGCTCGACTTGCATTTGCAATTTTTGCAAGCAGCGGCACAGCGCAACTTTCTCACTTCACGATGAAAATGCTGTCACAAAAAGCAGAAACAGAAAAACACACACAGAACAACGAAGCATTTCATTATCGCTTTTATTTGCATTTTAATTTAGTCGGCGTTGCGACCATTGTGTGAGTTTGTGTGTATGTGTGAGAGACTTTTTCTACACGTCAACAGATACGAAAGAATTGCAGCCGCCACTGTTGCTGCAGCAGCAGCAACATGCCAATGTAACAACGCGCAATTGTTGTTAACGCAAGATTACAACTCAAATGAATTGTTACTCATTGTATGACGATGATGATGAGGTTTTCAAAGTGCCATTCAATTTTCAGTAAAATACATTTTCTGATTCAACCATCGGTTTTGATGTGGATTTTTGTTCGTTTTCAATTTCTGACGACTTGAGAAAGAAGAAAAAGAAAGAGAAAAATCGCGTAATAATAAGCAACTCAATGAAAGTTATTTAAATTGATGGAATCGGACACAAAAAATTGCGCATTTCTTGGATCTACAGATAAGTTTTTTGCGCTCAACGTAGAAATTCTTTGGAGTGAGTCATTCGTAGAGGATTTTCCATTAACAATCGTCTATTGGATAAGAAAGTGTTTATTCGACGAGCAATCTTCTACTCGACAAGCGATTGTCTATTTCATGAGCCTCTTTGGTTCATATGGCGTCGATTTCACCATTTCTTTCATCGAACTTTTAATAAAGTAATCAAACAATGTTTCCGTTTTTGTGCATACACAAAATTGACATCAATTGGCTGCAGCTCAATGGAAATGTCATAAAATCAATATTCACATCGGAACTAATCAAAATGCAGCTTTTAATTGAATTTTTCTTTGAGTCAATCAAGTCAACAAAGGCGGTAAAATGCAAATTCAGTCTGCAGTTTTCATGTTCAATACGTTTTGCAGATCCGAATTGAGCTGTCCTAATTCTAACTTCATCAAGGTTCTCACAACTCAATTTGATGATTTATTTCATTTTAATTAACAAATCCATTCATAAATGGTGAAAGAACTCTATGTATGGCATCAGACTTCGACCACGTCGATCCATACCGACTCAGTACTATTATAATATGTCTCATCTATTCGTTGGCCAAAAAGAGAATAAAAAGCCCTTTCCTTTTTCAATAGAATTATGTTTGGTTCGATTTTGCGTATAATCAAAGTTTATCGACGTTTATTTGACGACGGTCTAGCTTTTGAGTCGCAAATATTATGGCTAATTAGCTATCAACCAAGTTTTCGGTTCTGAATTGTTTATATCCGAAGTATTCATAAAAAGCTTATTGCATTTTAATATTTTTTTTATTTATTATGACGGCTTTTGTAATTTCCATGCGAATATTTGGAAATTTTATGACGATTCCTATTTTCTCCATTTCAACTAAATCGTCAAAACAGAATCGTAATTGGAAAACGCTGAACATGACCAACTTTTGCAAAAAGGTAATGAAAATTCGTCCTAAGAGAACCAGAGAAGTATCAAAAAAAAATTGTAACAAATAGGCTAAAATTTAGCGTCGCTAATCAATTTGTTTTTGTCGCGTTGACTCAACATATTGTGATTAATTTGAATTTTACTTTGATACTTCGACAGACGTCATACAGTTGTTTACGACAACTTTGATTAAAAACCAAAATAGATGGAATCACCAACATCAACAATTGCCGCCCAAGTAAAAATAGCTGAAAAGGTCGCAATTCGAATCAGTTCAGTTTATGAATTTGTGACATACGGTTGGAAAAATGGTGAAATTCGTTATTTTTCTCCTTCTCTTTTAGTTATTATTTATGGAAGTCGCTCCCGATAAATGTTTATATTTCCGAAGTTACGATCTGCCACACCACAAATACACCTGCTCGGCATACTCATCGACATCTCTCTTCAACACTTTACGAGAGCACGTGCAAAAAGTGTAATTTCTTGTTCTTTTTATTTTATTCTGTTGAGTTATATTTATATGTTGTTTATTCGTAGGGGAATCCATCGAATGCTCCAATCGATTTAAGAATGCAAGTCGTGTATCCTTTCTCGAGACTACAGGCAAATTGGTTCGAAGTGGATATGCCGCTGAATAACCTTATTCTCGAGGAAATAAAATTTGAAGGATTTGAAGATGGTTCATTTAATACAGCACAATTTGCGTTGCTTCGTGAATTGGAATTGTATCAAATGACCCTTCCAATTTTGAATGACAGAATGTTTATTGGATTGAACAGTTTGCACCACCTGATAATGAAAGATGTAAAATTATTCGGATTTAAAAAGAACGTGCTCACAACGCTACCGAAATTAGATTATCTAGAAATTACGTGTAGTATTTCTACTAAAAAGACAGCAATGGACAATTTGTTCGGACCTAGTTCCATTCCAAATCTACGCTTTTTAACTTTTGAATATTGCAATTTCAAGAACCCGATAACTGTGACCACATTCTCAGGTCTAACTGGTATTAAGAGTTTGAAGCTGTATCGAACAAGCATTCAACACATTGGTGAGCACTCGTTCGATGTGATCTTCAAAACGTTGATAAAGCTCAACTTGATTTGGAATAGATTGGAAACAATAGATGCTGATTTGTTTAATGCAAATACAGGAGGCGAAATTGTCGTTTATCTTCAGAACAATCCATGGCAATGTGACTGTCAGCTGGATCCATTTCGTAAATTAATCCAATCGTCCAAACGATTTGTGTTCGCGACCATGGTTTGTGAGCATCCCCCTGATTATGTTTTGAACAATTCGACTTCACTTTGCGATGAGTCTACGGATGAACCCGAAGCAGTGGAAGAACCTCAGTTGACCATGCCAACAGTGGACATGCAAACCGAAACTCAGCTCAAAATTCAGACCGTGACTCAGGCTGAGATTCTGGTCGAGTCTTCATCACCAAAGAAAACTACATCGATTCGCATTGAAAATGGACAAATTTTCATTGACGACGAATATTTTTTTCAAAGATCTAATTGCATTTGAGCAGGAATCATTTGAAAGTGTTAAGATATCTACAACAAGTTGTTTTAAGTCAAAGTGACAAATCCAAAAAAATTGACATCAAACATTTGAAATTGAATCGCATTTATCGATTTTGTGCTATGAAAAAGGGCTCAAAAACCATTACACCACGGTATTGCATCTCGTTTGTCTCGAATATTGAGCGGAAATCTGAATCATCAAGCTCTAATGCAATGATTTTGAGAAAAGATATGGTAATTGCAATCATAAATTTCGTGCTCAACTTCATTTTTGCATTCCTTGCCGGTGTCTCTATTTCGATCCTATTTGCTAAATGCTTCCCACGAGCATTTCAAGCGATGTGTTTCATCAAGAAGTAGCCATAAAAATCTGACATTTGTAAATTTGTTAAATTGAATTGTTTTCTCAATAAAGTACAATGAATATTGTTCGAACATGGCAAATGCATATTCATTCGTTTCCATTGATTCTTTGCATTTTCGATCTTTTGCTGTGATTCAGCCGCTGTGCTTTAAAGTCTTTGATTTTTTTTACCACTGGAATACTGTGATATATTCAGTGGCAGAAAGACACTGCCAGCCTACAATTCAATGCATTAAATTCTTAAATTTGAGCTCAAGTTGCACCAAAAACCGCCATTGAAAATGGAATTTCATAATCAACGAGAAAATTGTTAGTTTTCATTGTGACAAAAGCCGACTTTGTATTTGAAAAGATTTCATTTGAATGAAAACATGCACAAGTGCCGTAAAATCGTTCTAATTACTATTATTTTTGTAATTTTATTTGAATTCATTTTATTTATTGGTTCATTAAGAATATTAGAATTTATTGGCTTATTAATTTCGCTATGCAAACGTAGTTTTAATTAAAACTAAATCGATTGAATGCCTAAATTAGGCAAAATTTGAATTGTGTAATGAATTCTTGAATGCCTAATAAAATTGTAATAAATTCGATTACTTTCCACACCAAAAGCTCATCCGTCTGTATATTCGACAATAAGCACAATATTTCAAACATTTCTAACCAACTGATACGTTTAGTTCCGTTTTAACTGGAACGTAACAATCAGTTTTGTTCACAGTATAGTGAACCGTGGTTCGAAAATGATAATAGTGAATCGAATATTATTTTTGTTCCTTCTTTGGACATGGATTGAGGCTAGCCATGGAATCTGTAATTTAGAATTGAATCCAACCAGAGAGGCACTTGAATTTAATTGTGATAAAATGCAGTGGTTACATTTAAGCGCAAACTTGAAGGCTGCTTGGGAAAAGGTGTTTCGATTATAATTGAATAATAATTATTAGATCGATCCAACGTTTTTCTCTACAATTTTTTTAATTCTCGAATTAAAAGAAAATCGAAGAATAATAAATAGTCTTTTTATGGAAATTTTCATTCTCAAATTTGCTCAATTCCTTGTTTCCATTTAATTTTCCAGGAAATACACTTTATTTTTTTGCATGTGGCCAAAGACAGAGTAAGTACAATTTTTTTTTCTTCAAGTTTTCACGACTTTTGATAAAGGATGTTCAAAAGCAATGACGATGACCCGACAAAAAATGGGTGCGGCAATGAGTTGATTACGCAATACGTAGTACGCATGTCATACCAGAGTAGTTGCAGACTACTCGAAGATTATCCGCAATGTTCTTGTCGGGTTCCAATCATTGGTAATTGTAAAGATCGTTTAACCATTTCACCACTTCACTATGGAAAAGATGGCTCAAATGGACTTTAATTTATTCTTTCCTCTCGGTGTCATCCATAGATTCTATCCAATCCAATTGATTTAACATTGCAAGACATCGAATTTCCGCTTGGCACCATTTCAATTAATGTTAAAAAGCCAAAATTGATTCGTAGCTGGTTGAGAATAAATGGGAAAGTAAAGCATCTTCGTTTTCAGAACACTAAAGTTTATGCGATTGGAGATAATGCATTCAATACCTTTCAATTTAACGAATTGGAGGTGTTGGAATTTTTTAAAGCTCCGATTACATACCTTTACACGAAATCTCTTGTGGGTTTAACGAAATTGAAAACTCTGCACCTGCATGATATGGAACTTATTAACGTTGGTATGAGTTTTCTCGTGCCATGTCCAGCATTGGAAGTGTTAACGATACATAACTGTGGCCCAAATAAATTATATTTGCATAAAATCTTTGGCGTAGCCGAATTTGATCATTTGAAAAGTGTTGCGGTGCAATATTGTGATTTGAACGATACAATCAACGACGTAACTTTTAATGGTTTGCAAGCTCTTGAAGAATTACATTTGACTCATAATCAAATCGAACAGATTGAGCCGGAAACTTTTGACGGTGTGCTTCGTACATTGACACAATTGAGCTTGGATTCAAATAATTTTACCACACTGCCAAAGGGTATCTTTGAAAGATGGCGCAAAAGAGATATCGCCATCAATCTTCAGAACAATCCATGGCACTGTGATTGTGAATTGGACGATTTGAGAAATTTCATCAAAGAGCATCTATTCATGGGGTTTGATAAAATCATTTGCGAAAGTCCACCGCATATGAAAGGGGCCCTTCTCACAGATTTGCCATGTTTGTGCAATCTAACGTCAACTTGCGTGGATAATGTGCTTTCAAATCCAATTACACTCAAACCACAGCCTGCACTAGAGACGTCAACATCGAACACCGATTTCAATTTGCAATGCGATATTGCTAAGAATGTCACCTTAGCCATGCCAACAGAAGAGCGCACTCCATTGTTCTATATGAAAAATGCGAAATTTATCGTTGAAACCATGCAACTCTCAACTGAATTCGATCTTCTTGAATTTGAACAAACAAAATCCAATCTAAATTTAAACATCAAATGCGTTTTCATACCCAAAGACATCCACCCGCAAAGGATACGAGTCAAACGGACGTTAAAACCGTTTCGTTTGTACCGATTTTGCGCAATCAAAAAGAAATCGAACACTATATCGCCATTGGACTGTGCCATATTTTATTCGACTTCAGACGAAATCCAGGATGCACCATGGCTATTTAAGGATGTTAAGACAATTGCCATTGGTCTTTGTGCTTTATTAATCACTTTGGCACCTATCGTTGGCGGTCTCATTTCAGTTGCAATCGCAAAATATTTTCAAAGGAAACATCGACCATTGACAACAAGAGTCACGATAGATGAATTATTTCCAAGCCAAAAGGAACGTGAGGCTGTCAAACGATTGAAGTGAGTATTTTCATTTTGCAACTTAAGAAGAATTTCTGAATAAATTAATTAAGCTTCACCGAATACAAATCTTCTTGATAACTCATGATAGCGTGAAAATTGAACAAATACTCTTTTTTTTTCTCAATTTCAGCTTATCCGACGGACCACTTCGACGCCGATTTTCCTCAAAACGATGGCAGAGACCAGCGATTCAAATGTCGATGCATAAATCTGTCTTTGATAATTTCCAAAAAGATGAAAAATGCCCAATTGATGCTGACACTAGTGCTGACATTCCACCACCCGTACCACCCAGAGACAACCTTAAGAAATTGGATATTTCTTGAGAAATTATCTTAAAAAATGAATTCAACTTTTTTTTCTTCTGATTTTAATTTCTGATTTTCAAATTTAATTCTATTTTAAACAAATTTTAATCGATTGGATTTACGGTGATTTAAAAAGGCATTTTTCTCTAACCTTTATATTCATAATATTAATTTTGTTCGGCTTGATTACAATCAATTGACTTAATAAAGAAATGAAATTATATTTTATCAATGAAAATGTGGACGTTTCATTATTTATTTGGTACAAATCACATTAAATGGAATTCAATTGGAAATAAGATAAGTCGTAAGGTGAATGTGACGCAATTGAATTAATTAGTTCTGTTGTTTTTTACGCAGAAATTTGGAATTGTTTTATTTTTTCGATTTTCGATTATCTCCAATTATATAAAAAAAAAATCCACAATTATTATGTTACGTAAATCACTTTTTTAATATGAAATCACCTTCACATGGCATTAGAGGTGAAATTCGATCATATGAGTACAATTTGACTCTATATAAAAGCGGTTTAGGCGCGGTATACTTAAGTGTTTTTAATTGTTTCCAATGAAAATACGCCGAATATTGTTTAATTTGATTTCGAATCATTTAGACAAATGAAAACAAAGGAAATATCTAATGAAAACAACCAAAAAAGGCATCGAATCCTTATATCTGTGCATTTTGTAATAGCATTCAATTAGTTTAGCTGGTGAAACTGTACGATACGGTCTAGAAAATGGAAACGATCAAATACGTTATATTCTCTTTATGTTTCATCTCTTGTGATTTGGTTGGGATTGTATATGGAAATTGTGAAAAGTATATTTTCGGTCCTCATTACTTTTGCAATGATATGCTTTTATCCGAAGTGACAGAGCAATTAGAGCAAATTTTCCCTAAGGTTTGAGCATTTTTTTCATTTTGCACTGAACAATATGCACAGGTTCTAATCGTTCTAATATTATTTTATTTCTCTTTTGGTTGATTTCACCTTTGTTTTAAATCTTCAAAAACGTGCACCATCCAAGGCACAAAATTCCAATAAAACATTACGACTTGAGCATATTGGAACGCGCGACGGAATTTTACGAAAGAATTGGATCAACTCAAATTACGCAATTTTTTATCTAATGATGAAAGACATCGACATCAATGAAATCGAAGATGGTGCCTTTGTTGCCGAAGCATTTGCAATGTTGGAAAAATTGGACATTTCATGCATTTCTCTGCGATGCTTGAATAGTTCTACATTCGATGGTCTATCGAAGTTAAGTCATCTGCGTTTTGAAAATGTTCAAATTAAAAAATTGCATGAAAACATTCTGGTTCCAGTTCCAAATTTGGAAACATTTATAATGCTATTCTTCCGATCAGATCCATTGAATTTGGATAATTTCTTTGGATTGTCGAATAAATTGCCGAAATTGCACATGGTATCCATTTGGCGCTGCAATTTAAGTGAAACAATTACGGAAAGAACATTTACTGGCCTTGAGGGTATTAAGACACTGAAATTGGAGGAAAATGAAATTCAAAGAATTGGCGCACGATCATTCAATGTGCCTCTTAAAACATTGACATACATTGGATTGAGAGGAAATGAGATGACATCGATACCGAACAATTTATTCAATGTAGATGTGGAAAACACGGTGATGGTCAATTTGGATCAAAATCCATGGCATTGTGATTGTCGAATGGAACATTTTCGACAATTCATGCAATCGCAATCAAGAGTTCAATTCAATAGTCCACGTTGTGAGACGCCATCGGAATACAAGGGACATTTGATATCAAAATTGCCAAATTTATGCCGAAAATCAACGGTGCAGTTACACGATGACAATAAGATCGATAAATCCATTACATTGTGGTGTAAAACCTCAAAATCGACTGAATCTATGGAAAATGTCATTTTAAAACCACCATCACCAGCAATCCTACTCTTACGTTCGATTGGCAGAAAACTTTTCATCGATTATAAAAAGCCATCGAATAATTTCAAACTGTTCGGCTATGAGCAAGCGTCTGATAGTAATAAAAATGCTTTGAATTGTTTCACCAATGCCAAAACAAATGCAAATATCCAAATGGCAACGAATCAAATGTACCGATTTTGTTGGATAAAAAATGGGTCGAAAACTATTTCATTGCTGAATTGTGCTTCCTTTGTTGCAAACTCAATTCAAAACCTAGACGCATGGATCATGATGGAGTACAAGGCAATTTACGTCATTGTTTGGATTCTCTCCGCTATCTTTGTGGTTGTCATTGGAATTTTAATCGGCCTTTCGCTAACTAAGTTGTACTTTATTGTGTTTTCAGAGCAAAATATCGGTGCAGGTATGGAGGAAACGGCAAAGGAAATCCCAGAATATGCAACAATCAATAAAACCACGAAATCTCCACCCAATGTCTATAAACATTTTGGTGGCATTGAAGAACTTGGAAACTCTTTCATCGATTATGAAGCACCTCCGCTGCCACCAAGGAACAAGAAAGTTAGTTTTGCCAAGTACAAATGCTGCAATTCCGAAATATGTGAATGCTACTGCGAACTTTGATCGCTAGATGCCCAATGGAATTCGTGCAGATTTAACGACATTTTTGGATTTCGGCATAGTGACGATTCAGGCAAATCTGTGCACTTTGACGGTCAGAATCGGCACTTAATTACAATGTCATTAATTATCATAAAATATTGTGTTGTAAATCAATGCTTCTTATATACATTTTCAATAAATTCATGGAAAAGTTCCGTAAATATCAATCGAGCATTCATTAATGAGTCATGAAATCGGCATAAATCAAATAAATTGCCGCGAATACAATTGTTAATTGTCAGTAATTACTAGTAATTAGTTGCCACACATTTGGAATGATTGAACGTACCAAGTTTTTTTCAATTAATAAACTTCTCATATGATTTGTCCTTTTTAATTGTCGGCTTATATGAAACCGTGCGCAATTGCAGATTAATTATAATTATTTTATTGGAAAAATCATAACAGGCGCGAGCAATGAAAGCACTCTAGTGTTGAACTCTAGGGGAATTTATGTATTCGCGAATTGACAGGAATTCGCACAATTCGCACGCGTTCTGACCTCAAATTCATTCAAATATTTCACGAATTTTGCGAATTCTTTGCGAATTGCTCAAATCCGAACATTGACAGCTGGCGCCATCTTAGTTGTCATTCGCAGTGACAAAGCAGAGAATGTGAACAATTCGTAAAGAATTCGCAGAGAATGTGCGAATTCGTAACAAAATCGCAATGGAACGATCAAATTCGATGGATTCAACGGACATAAATACCCCTAGGTCATAGGGGTATTGCAACGACCATAAAATATATGTATTTCATCAAGTTTGTCAAGCTTTTTCCAAGTTTATGCATAGTGTCGAACTTTTGTTCAAGCTCCACCATCTAAATGTATAGTGAAATAATTTACGGGCATGACGTAAGATGGCGTTTTTTCTGGTCAAAAAAGATGCAATATCCCTTTGCCCTAGGTTGAACTTGCCTGATTTCAAACGTTATTTTTAATGAATTTTTCCGTTCCACGTGTCGTATTTTTGCGTTAAAATTTGGTAATATTTCTAAGCTGTGTGTTTCTAATCTGTAAAAGTTAACATTTCTCTTCGAGCCAATAATTGAATTTCAACATTTATTAAAATCGGCGTTAACTGTACTTAATTTACAATGAAGCCGCCCACGAAAAATCAATTAAACCAATTCAATTAAAATCAAAGCCGCCGAATTCGGAGCATAAAGCTTTGTAATTGCCGAATTCGTAGAAACCCATCACCATTACCATTGGAACTGAATTCAATTTTGTTCAGTTTAGCCCATAGACTGATCGAAATCAGTTTGCGAAAATGCTCAAGATAACCATTCAGTTGAGTGTTCTCTGTCTCCTTTGTTGGAATGCTCAGGCAGCTAAATGCATTAGTCAAATCCAACGTTTTCACACCATTTTAAAAGGCCAAAAAATATTTCGCTGCGGTTCATTACATCAAACGGAATTGGTTGACGAATTGAAAGGCCTTAAACATGTAACACAATTTAATATTCCTAAATTTAATATTAACCAAATGACATTTTTCCACACCATTTACAATTCCAGGATTTTCAACCGAATGTTTCGATAAATTTGTTTTTATACCGTATCGACTTCAAACAAGTGAACAGCAATGGTATGCCAAAAATGACAAACGGTTGGTTGAATATAACGCTATCAAACCTGAAATGGCTTCAGTTGAGAGAAATAAATGTCTTGGAAATTGAAGCGAAAGCATTTTCTCATGCGATTTTCCATGAACTTGAGTATTTGGAAATCTTCAATGTTCCTCTACGAATTTTAAAATTTGGAATGTTTGACGGATTGGATAAATTGAAGACACTCTCTTTGTATGGTTTGCAACTTGATGTCATTCAAAAGGATATTCTAAGGCCGATTATAACATTGGAAGGGTTTTCGATAATCAATTGTGGTCTAAAGAAAATTAGTTTGGATAATCTTTTTGGCGCTTATCCACTGCCTAGATTACGAATAATTGGCGTTCAAAAATGCGATTTGAGTGATACGATCACTGAACAAACGTTTACCAGTGTTCCAGCTTTATATATGTTGGCACTGAAAAATGATCAAATCGATACAATTGGACCGAATTCATTCTCTAGTGTACTTAATACTGTTAAGTATCTGTCCTTGGGCTGGAATAAACTGAAATCGATACCAAAAGACCTCTTCAAAACACATCGTGCAATCAAGATCGATCTGTCACATAACCCATGGCATTGTGACTGTCAAATGGAACATCTTAGAATCATCGAACAAACCATAAAGAGCGGCATCATTTGTGCAACACCCAAAAAATTTAATGCAGTTTTGTTACGGAATTGTCCACCTCTTTGCACTGAAACGACAACTATCATTACGGCGACGGAAGCAAAATTGACGACTGAACAGCAAACGACGATTGAAAACGGTTTGACGGCTCAACAACAATCGATGACTGAACATCAATCGTCGGCTGAACAGCAATCCAGAGAGCATCCAGAGCAACCAGAACAACCAGAACAAACAACGAATGTTGCACAAAATCAACCGGAAAAACCATTAGACACAATCGATGTTATGTGTGAGATTTTTAGCCCAGCAAAAGTCATCAGAACGATCAAATTGACCAAACCATCACATAAAACCAGTCCAGTGTTTCGAATTGAGAAAGGAGAACTGCACATTGATACTGTATTACTATTGAATGGCTTCAAATTGATTGAACTCAATCATGTTCAGTCCAAAGAATTTAATGATGTTGTGTTCAACAATGAAAACACTTGTGCAACGTATTCCAAACGCGATGGATCGATGGATATCAAAATAAAACGGAAATTTGAACGAAATGCGTTGTACCGGTATTGCTGGATAGAAGAAAGTTCCAAAAAAAAATTCCCCTTCGATTGTGTTACATTTCACTCCGATGCAAAGAAAAAAGGCTCGATTCATTCGGGGTGTGACAAAGAGGATTCAGATGCATGGATTACGGTGTCTAGCAAACCGATCATGATCATCGTTTGTGCTTCATCTACCATTTTCGCACCAGTTATCGGTATCCTGATTGCAGTTGTATTGGCCAAGCTATTTCCAAAGAAAATTCGAGGTCAAAAGCAAGATTTGAAGAGATTCGTGTCAAATCTAACACAAAATACAACTTGCGAAGATCAAGCTGGACTAAAGTAAGTATGAGTTTTGATTGTTTTGAACAAACTCTTTTTTTCCTTTTCAAGCATGTTGCAAAAGTGCCTCACTGTCATTTTGCATGGAAATTCTTCAAAACGATTTGAACGCTACTCATATGATTACATGATGACTTTTATTTGATCTACTAGTGAGGTACATTCCAAAAGCAAATTGCAACATGCTATTTGAGTTTACTAAAATCGGTTCAAATCGGCTTGAAAAGGAGGCACTTTTGCAACATGCTATTTGTTTATTTGAACGAAAAAACATAAATTATTCAAAAACAAACGCGAAATATTCCAGATCGTCAAATAATTCCGTTTGTCGACATGGCGAGTTAAGCAAACTGACACGACCAGTGAATCGAATGTCTAAACATGTGGCGAATTTTGAAGGGATGGAACCTGATTATATAACTATTGACGAAATTCCACCTCCATTACCACCCAGAACTAAGATGATAATCAGCAGCAATGACAAATTCAATTGTTGTGATTCCGACAGTTGTACATGCTATTGTGAGTTGTGAAGGTCCTTCAATAACCCTCTACTTCTATGCCGTACCAAGAATGTATTTAATGTAACAGTCCACAGAAGTGGCGCCGAAATGCAATTTGAAACATCTTTAGAAACTATCAATACTTGTTGTAGTTTTCAATTTTGCAACAATCACTGCCATTACATATTCACCACGAGATGTAAAATGGCACCACCTGTACATTGCAGCGGTTGGTTTTTTATACAATAAAATGTAGAAAGGAATAAAGCGCGGCACATTTATTTCAAACGTAAACTAGAAATTGCTTTTTTACTTTGTTTATATTAAAGCAAAAATGGTTGGATTTGACTTTGGAACTCACAAATTGGGCGTTCAAGATTTGGCTGTTTGAGTCAATATGGCCAATTTTTGATTATTTTTAGCCACTGAAAATGGTTTGATTTGAATGAATCACGTATCAAATACAGAAATAATTTGTCCTGTTACTTTTCCGCAAACTTTGTTTGTATGGAAAAGTATTGGTTTTACTAGCCAAAATTTCATGACATCTCCTCTTTCGGACCACTATAACGTCACGCCAAACTTCAAAAAGCACATATCTGTACACTAGGCAATGTAGATGGGATGAAATCCTATCGATCAAGACCTATCTGCCTCCAAAAACATGTTGTTTACTATGAAAAATGTGCAAAATATCGATGTTCGTATGGCGTCGTCCGCGTTCGCGTTTTTGTCAGAGAATGTATTTGGCTAATGTCAGCTAGCTAACTGAAAACATTCTGGCTGGCTCAGCAGCTGAATTCTATGCGTTGCGTTTTTTCATCGCATCTGCAGTACAAAAATCATATATATGGGGATTTTTGTTTTGTTTATTTTTTGTTGTTTGTAAACAAATCTGCCTATCTTTTTGCATTGTCACTGTGCATTGTGCACAGTATATGTCCATAGGAAATGTGCAGAGGCAATGCAAAAAGATAGGCAGATTTGTTTACAAACAACAAAAAATAAACAAAACAAAAATCCCCATAACTAATGTATTGGCAATGTAAAAATAAATGGCGAAAATTTTACATTTCTTATGGGCCGT